TTCGGTGCTTGCACGTTCTCCGCTTTTACTATTATTGCAGCTTAGATTTTCAAATAGCTGCAGTACTCTGACTTTGCCACAAGGAAAAGTGCGTACGCCTGCTCAGAGCCTGACGTGACAGTAAGTACTTTTCCACGTCAAAGACCGTATTTATAAATATGAACGTTGTCGTAGATTTTAGAGTATGCACACTCTAAGATCAAATCTGTGCGTACGCACATTTTATAAATGAGGCCTCAGACGTGAGATTTGATCGTAGCCACCGCTCACATTCATATCGATAAATTCCAAGTTTTGCGTTGAAATGACCGTTCGCCCAATTTTCTGCCGTACGTTAGTTTCGTAAATAGTTTTGTGTTATACAGTTTTGTGTTATACATAAAATGTTGCTTATGTTAAATATTGGGGAATATAAATCAATTTCAGCCTGACGTGACAGTAAGTACTTTTCCACGTCAAAGACCGTATTTATAAATATGAACGTTGTCGTAGATTTTAGAGTATGCACACTCTAAGATCAAATCTGTGCATACGCACATTTTATAAATGAGGCCTCAGACGTGAGATTTGATCGTAGCCACCGCTCACATTCATATCGATAAATTCCAAGTTTTGCGTTGAAATGACCGTTCGCCCAATTTTCTGCCGTACGTTAGTTTCGTAAATAGTTTTGTGTTATACAGTTTTGTGTTATACATAAAATGTTGCTTATGTTAAATATTGGGGAATATAAATCAATTTCATAGAGATTCTTTTCATAATTTATGCATTAGTTTTAATTTTGTTAACGAAAACTTTGACGAAAAATATTCGTTGACAAGCTTTTTCCCATGACTAAAACGAGATGATGTCGAGACGACAATAAGGTCAGTAAACGAACTATGACAATATCAACATGCAATATCATTGACGACAAAAGACGAGACTAAAATGTATTAAAATGTAAAAATATACTGTATAACTATACCAAAAATAACTTTAGCTTCTCTGTTTCTGCCAAGAAATGGTAACTAACTAGGTATGGTGAATTACACAAGCAATGTCGAGACGACAATAAGGTCAGTAAGGTGACAATATCAACATGCAATATCATTGACGACAAAAGACGAGACTAAAATGTATTAAAATGTAAAAATATACTGTATAACTATACCAAAAATAACTTTAGCTTCTCTGTTTCTGCCAAGAAATGGTAACTAACTAGGTATGGTGAATTACACAAGCTTCAGTCTGGATCCAGCCCATATGAAGATCTGAGATGACCATACAAATCTACCGAATTTTGATACAAGTTTGCTTGCAACATAATTATTGCCATTAATAGTATTCACTGTTTGATTAGATATATGTCATTAACTAACTGCATGATTTTTACTGTATATTTCTGCCATATGGATATCAACTTGACATTACTACTGATAGGCTACTCCTAAATAGATTTTCTGTGAAGCTGCTTTGCAACGATTTGCATTGTGAAAAGCACTATACAAATAAACCTGAATTGAATTGAGCTAGATAAGGTAAAATAAACTGTGTATGAGTCCGCATGGTTAATGGTGAAAGTGCAATACCTGAAATGCAAACAAATTTCTCAGCAATCATTGCAATTATAATTTTGAGCAAATAATTTTGTTTTTGAAGCTGCTGCCACCGATCTGGACGAGCGCACAGTTACTGTAACTTCATACAGTATGTCAGTTTCTGTGAGGATATGTGCATTCCTACCAGGGCATTGCTGTCATTCAATAATGATAACCCACGGTTTATTGGGAAACTCAAACAGCTTTGTCATTGCCAAAGAGGATGCTTAAAAACGTGGGAAATCTTGTACAACCGGGCCAGAAACTGAGTAACAAAGGAGATCAGAGTGACTAAAACAACTACTCTGAAAAGTTGAAAAACCAGTTTTCAGCCAACGACCCAGCATCAGTATGAACTGGTCTGAAGAACATCATCTACAAGACACCACCCCCACAAACACTTATTCTGTCTTTTTACAAAGCATTCTGTTGCAGCTCAATAACACGAGCAAAAATCAGCAGCCTACAGA